CTTTGAAGTTTGTGTTTCTTGAGAAGCATGTGTTTTGTAGCATTGATACAGTACTTTTTTTTGTTGTGATGGCAGCAAATTTCCAGTGATCCTGTTGTTTGCACTATGTCTCAAATGTGGTGCTTTTCTGGCTGATGTGTGTTTTGAGCTGAAATCCTTCAGTCTTCCAAGAACAGAAGATGAGAGTAGTTTGTATGGTACCCACCATTAGATTTAGCAATTAACTGTGTGAGATGGGAAAGTTAGATCTAAATTCATGACTTGTGCTCGAAAGAGAAAATACCATTATCTGTGTGAATATAGGAGAGTATGTTATCCACATTGCTCAGCACTTCGTGTTTAACTTCAGTATTCTGGCACTCCCTGTAGAAGTTTTTAATAAAGGTTTTCATGCAGGGGTCAAAGATCTACATCATATTTCCCCAAGCCACCCTTCCTCATCCTTTGTCTTACAGTGGCCATTACTGAATGGCCACAGAGACAGTATAAGGATGGGACGGGCATGTTTGGGATCTTAGCACTTCAGTTACTTGCAGAAAGACAGAATGCCGTAAAAACTTCTCTGCATGTAAGCACTCAGCAGTTAATTTCTTTTCTTTTGCAAGATCAGTCAAGCCTATGTCTACGACAGTGTCTGTGCTAATTTCAGAGAGTACATCTATGTTCTGAGGAGTGGATGATAATAGTTTGTATGTCTGTAGGGTGTGCCGTCTGTGTTCAAATTTTGTTGTATGGGATTTTTTTTATATAATTGTTCTTCAAATTCTACTGAATATGATTTGTAGTTTTAATAATAAATATTAGTTTAAATAAAATAAAATTAATAAAAATGAATAAAATAAAATTTTTTTTTTTATTCTAATAATCTATAAAATCATTAGGTAACATGAGTTCTAACCAATGCCACTGGATGCGGTTTACTGTGTTTATGTATAAAGTCTTGTGGACTTTTAACATTTTTCAGAAGTAAAATTCATGTCTGTTACCTTTGTATTTCTTACCATATAGCCTCCACTGAGAAAAAGATTGATATTGAAGCTATCAAAGAAAAGGTAAAGAATGCAAAGAAGAAGAAATTAGGAGCACTCTCTGAGGAAGAAGTAAAGTTAAAAATGGCAGCAGATGAAAAGAAAAAAAAGAAAAAGAAGTAATTCACCCCCCCAAGCTGTTTACTTGTCACCTCTGATAATGAACACTTTTACACTTGGAAGATGGGAGATTTTTTGCTGTCGGTATAATGTGGACAAGAAAAGACTAAGTGAAAAGATCATTCTCTTTTCCAAGTACAGTTTAATTAGTGGACCTACAGTAGCTGTACAGACTTGTTGAGGCTGGTGAAGAAAATCTGTGCTACTGTGTTGTTTGAGAAAGTAAGAGAATGTATTTGGATAATATCCATCTGTCTAAAGGGAATGTTTGACAAGAGAAACATTGAGGAGTTTGATGTGGACTGTTAAACATTTGGGTCAGAGAGCTCTGGGAAGATGAAAGCTCAAGTTAATTATGTGAAAGACTACCAGACAATATGCAGCCTCAATTTGTGGTGATAACTTTTGCTAGGTGGGCAAGATTTATTACTATATTACGCTTTTATTTTTGTAAAAGCTGATTTTTTGTGTGTGTATTGTCTCAATGTTAATAAACTATTTTAATACAATGTTCTTAAATTCTTAGTTAATCTACTGCATAACATCCATTGTGTTGTCCAGGAAACAAACTCACAGTTTCATCTGAAAATTAGACAAACCATAATCTTCATTGCATACCATTAATAGACTGTCATTTATTAGCATTATCCTGATGGGTTTTTACACAGAATATGGTACAAAGTGAGTGACTTTACATAGGGATTGTGCTGCAGGGAAAACAAAAAGTTGTGTTATTTACCTTTAAATATATTCTTAGTTACTGCCTTCTTGCAAGAAGTCTTAAAAATTATGTTCCTCTTTTTTTTTTCTTTTTGAGGTACTTCCCCTATTTTAAAGGAAGTTTAGAGGTTTTACGATTACCTGAAACTGTGAAATGTGATGAAATAAAATGCACCAGCAGAGCAGCTGTTGCTTATTTCATACATCTGAGATTAAAGAAACAAATGTAATGAGGAGGAGATTGAGCCACACTGATTGCCACATGCAGTGGAAATGACTCTCCTAGAAGGATGCAGCTGAATGCCTTTTAGGTTAAGTGACCTTTTATTTGAAACTAGTAGGTGAAAACATCCTTTTTTTTATTTTTTAACACAAATAAGAATTGAGAATATATTTGGTTAGATAGCCAGTACATGTGCATTGGGACATAGCTATAGTGCTTGACCTCTTGGGTAGGGCACATTACCCAAAGTGGCCCTTTCAATTATGTGAGTAGTTCTTGGCATTTAATTGTTAAGGAAAAAATACTCCCCTTCTTCTTTGGGACTGCATTATTCATAAGTGGCAGTTTCTTTTGGAGTCAAGCAGGAAAATGCTATTTAAGCAGCTTTCACTGAGTGCATGATGTGTAAGTCACAACCCACCTCTCTCAGAAACCGTAGTGATCTGATGGGTTCAGTGATGGCAGCACTACAAAAAGCTTTTTAGAAACACCAGCTGGTGTTTAGCAGTTGACAGAGTAAAGGGGGGATCAAATCTCCGGGCTTGGTGGGTAGTTCAGACCTCTCATGTAATGGAGGGACTGGTTTCAACAGGAGACACTGCAATGCTTGAGTTTAAATTCCCACTCTCACAAGCATGCTTCAGCAGAAGAGTGCAGAGCATGGACCCAGTTAGGAGGGGTTTGACAAGCCAGAGAAGAAGCATGAGTGTATTAGGGGAGGGAGAGGCCTCAGTTCTGATCTGAACTGCATCAGGCCCCTTTCATGGCAGAGGAGTGGCACACATTCCCCTGCCCGTTGTTTAAAAAGTTAAAAACTTCTAAAAGTTTTTAAAGTGTAATGCTGTTTGTCTCACACTGGTCTTTTAAACTGGCATATAATTTCAGGAATCTGGCTGTGAAATTATCCTTTAAAAAGGGAGTTTTCAGCTGGATCAGCTAACTTCTTGGTGCCTGAGTTGCAGTGCAGGAAAATGTAGCTCAGCCTGGGGCAGTATGGCTTTAAATTATGTTTACTTCCAAGGAGATGTGCTTTTTTAAAATTAGGACCCCCAGCTGAGTCATTTATGTAGCTTTTAGGTGACATCTTTCCCTCCAGTAAAATTCTTAGCACACTTCAGGAAATCTTGTCCTTTTGTTATGGGGTATTTAGTATTTCTTGGTTGTTCCTGTTGACAAGTTTTAAGGATTGTTGGTAGGACATGATTTACTTGAATAAATGAAAAATCAAGAAAGATTATTCATATTCCTGTAGGCAAGCCAAAGGATTTGTCTGCCCAAGAGTCCATATCTGAATGGAAAGGGGCTGCATGGTGTCACTTGCTGGTGCTTTGTGCACCTGCTTTCTGACAGAGTATGGCAGTACAGTTATAACACTTGTGTAAAATATAAATAATAGAAAATAAAGTGGGCTTGGAAGACCAGTGAAGGGTTTTTTTGTATTTTTAGAACAGCTTGAACTATTGCAAATTATGTTCTTAAACTGATTTTAGAGTTTGCAGACTTGCAAAAATGCACCCGAGGTCTAGATTTCCATATCAATGTTTTGCGTTTATCATATGGAATTCATGGGCATATGCTGTGTGGACAATTCAAAGTGGTTTGATCAACCAGAGGTAAATACCCGGATTTTTTGATATCCCTAAAAATGAAAAAGCTGGGTTTTTTCTTCTTGATTTCTTGATTTTAATTTTTTTGTTTGTTTGTGTGAAAGATGCCACATTGTAAAGTTTGGGTGTTTAATTCCCCCTAAGCCCAGGTTTTTTAAGGAAGGTCTTTCTCAGGATTTCCTAAGAGCTGCTGAAGTATACAGTTAAATGAAAGTGTTAACATTTTGAACTTTAAGGTCTCTGTTTCTTCTCCTAGAGACCACACATTACTTAAACTAAGCAGGGGAGAACTCCTGCTGAGCTCATATTAATCTCCCCGGACACAGCAGTGTATGTGGTTCCCTTCCCGGCATTCTTCTTTCTAGTAGAAGGATATTACCGACCGGGGGGCAGAGACCATGCTGTGGAGCCCCATGCAGGAGAGTGCCCATACATTATGTCCTGCTGCCCATGTGCCAGCCAGTTTTTAGGTGGGACTTTGCAGTATGTGGAGCTTGAGGCTTGGGTTTCACACAAGAGTGTCTGTGACTGTGCTGTCTTGGCTATGGAGTCTCCAGCAGTCAACAAACTAGGATGTACATATATAAAGATACATCAAGCATGAAATTCATGATTTTGTCCCCAGCCATATTTTCATTTTGAAAAATGATTTTGAAAAATGCTGCTATATTGAAATGATTCCAGTACAAGCAGTACTAGCAGATAACCATCTGGAAGTGTAATGGAAAAAATGTTGGACCCCAGTTCCAGTGTTCTCAGTTACAATCCATGGCAGTATTAAGATCAGGAGTCAGGGTCAGGAGTGGGCATGCAGAAACACTGACAGGTATTGTGGTGAGAAAAATGAAGGGATGAGGGGAACTTCCCAGCTTCCTCTACAGCAGTGTGTGCAGAGGGACACAGTGCAGAAACTTCTAAACAGATACTATATAACGTATAGATAGGGATTGCTGTGGTCCAGCTGTGAGTTTGTGCAGCTCTGCTGCTTCCAGATTTTTCTTCAGCTGTGTGACTGTGGTTGATAGAGGACACATCAGGCTGAACACAGCAGCTGTCCCTGCAGCCTTCTGCCTGCTCCAGATGTGCAGGTTCCAGGAGATTTGTTCTTTGGCAGCTGTTGAACCAAAGTTGTAACTAAGGGCACAGTGTGATTTTATTTGGAGTTCTATCTTTCCCAGCACTGTTTCCAATGTTGTGCAAGTTGGAGCTGAATCTGGGGTTATTTTGTGCACCAGCAGTTAAGCTTTAGCTCATGTTTGTTGCAAATTCATGATTACCATACACAGGAAGCAGGAAATAACAATTTATTGTTTGAAACAGCAGTAAAACACCTATACTCAAAAAATATAACAGGAAAGATTGCAGTGATACATAACCATGTAAACACAGGTGAAACTGTTTAGGCACAGATACCATGAGTTTAAAAACAAATTCTAAGCAAAGCGAAGTACCAATGACAAGTGTTCTGTGAGACTGGAAAGTGCACGGCCTGCCACAGGATGCAAATGCCAGAGCTCATACGGATCCAAAAATTCCTTAAAAAATATTAAATTATACAGGCCACCCTTCATCTTGCTGTAGGAGTGCAAGATGATGAGTGAAATAGGAATGAGAGGTGCATGCTCTGCCTGTGCCTTTGCTGTGGGCTGGGGCCTAGCTGCTATGCTGGACACTCTCCAGCCCTTCCTAAGGTGTGTTGGGCAGCTGCCTGCAACTAGATGTGCTGCCTGGACAATATGCTCCTGTACCCACCAGATCACATGCACGCTGCTCCAATTTAAAAATATTTTAACTTTTTAACTTTTAAAACAATATTAACATCTAAATCAATTTTAACTTTTAACTGGTTCTGAGCAATGAGAAAGCTGCTTATGAGTGCTTGTAACTACAACTTGCAATGAAGGTGTTATTTTTGTACCTCTAAATCACCTGTGTATGCAAACAATGTCTCTACCAATGTTTGCGCTGTCTGTAACTTATGTGAATGGAAGAGATGAGTTAAGTGCTCTTGTGATCTTCTACATGTGTGTTACACAGTGGCAGGTACTAGAGACCAATATTTTGGTAAGAGCCAGGTGGCCACAATTGTCAGTATAAGTAGTATTGATCTTAAAGCAATAATGGAGATGCAGAACTCATCACATGCAGGTCTGTCCCAGTCTGGATACCACTTGGGATCCTCTGAAACAAGATGATTCACTTGTTTTCAAGTACAACCGCAACAAAACAAGGGCAACAAAAGGAAGCAGTAATTCCAGTGGTACTTACCAATGACTTTGTCACGCTCTGCATTTCCTGGAGAGAGAAAATAAGTAAACATAAGCACTCATATAATTTAGAAGCAGTTTGACTCTAACCAAAAGAGAACAAAATGTGACCATCACAATATAAATCTTATAAATACAGCTGATGTGTTTCTTCTCAGAAAGAAGCAAAGACCTGCTGACTCTAGGAGAGCTCTGCAATGACTCTCAGGACACTGGTGAGGAGCGGTTTATCACACTTTTTTGACTTCTACTGCTGGTGGCTGGTGTAGAGAGGGCTCCCCCACAGGTGTGCTTCCCAAAATCATTTTGGCTTTTGCCCTGTGCCCTGTGTTTTGAGAGCCTGCAGCCAACATTAAACAGCCCTGTGAATCCAGGACTTCCTTACATCCCTTAGGTACTAGTGTTTTAATGTCATCTTCCCACTCCTTTAGTTCACCAATGCTTGAATGCTGAGGAAGTGTGACCATACCCTCAGCTCTCTGCAGGAGAATGGCCACAGCACAAGGCCTTGTCTTCATGGAAATTCTCCTTCCCTCCTGACTCCATGCAGCTGTTACAAGTGCAGGCATATCAGGAAGGCTGCCAGACTTGGGCTGAGCACTGCATCTCCATGAAAGCTCTAGCATGTCAGCCTTGTTCTCTCCCAATGCTTAGGGGAAAGCAGATGGCCTGGCTGATGTTCACTGGAGTGAGCAGCTTTGGCAGTGCCATGGCTGCCCTCCCCACCCACTGCAGCATGGCAGGGGCAAAGCTTGCTTGGACCTGCACCAGCTCAAGCCACAGTTCACACATCACATAATAACCTGGAGCCCCCAGGACAGCACAGTATCCCATTCTTTGCTTTCTGTTTCTGCAAGCAGTAACTTCGAGCAGGGGTAATAACATCTTAACTGCAGCCACCATATCTCCTGTAACACATCCTCCAACACCTGATGAGCAGACCCCATCCCATACTCCCCAGGGTATTTAACAGGCTTCTGCCCTCCTCCCCTCTTTGTGCATCACTAACCACTGGGCTTCTGAATGCAGTTTTCCAGCCTATAGGAACAGGAAAGTGCTGTTCCTGAATCCTGCCAGTATCTTTTGTGTGCTCTTTCCCCTTCTACGTGTGCTTGGGGATGTCTGGCTGTCTTCTACTTACGACACAGTTGATATTCACACTGCTCACCACCGCACTCGCTGCATGCTTCTCCTGTCTTGTATGGATGCACTGGGTAATTTCCACTGTGAAGGAAAATAACACTGCTCTCAAACAGCCCGTGGGAAGACATTAATATCTACTGCTAAATAGGTTTTAACCCAAGTATGGCTACACTTGCGTGGATAGAATGATGGTTTTTTCAAGAGTCCTGTCCAAGTGCTCTGTGCTCAAGACATGCAGTTAAACAGAAGAGAGATTAAGTGTAACGGGACACCCTTTTGTTTAGGAACCTGGTATTTCTATTCCTAGAATCTAGGAACTTTAGTATTGCTGGGAATTAAATAATAATAATAAACCTGGGAATTAAAGCAGTCTCAGAGTTGGGTAATTTGTGTGTGTGGAGACTCTGGACTCTCATAGCTGGCTCTGGCTGTGGAAACAAGAGAAGGTTCAGTTACTCTGTACATATGTGTGTATTCAGCCTTGAAGAGGAATGGTCTGAGGTTGGAGAACCTCATCCATTTCATCCATTTGTTGGTTAATATTTTAGGAATGATGTCTGTCTCCTGCTCCCTCCCTCTGCCAGTGGTGTTAATGGGATCAGCTACCTCTGGTACCTCTGGTGCAGGCTGATACTGCACCA